ATTTTGGAATTCGGGGGGTTTCATGGGAAACTTTCCCCAGGGTGGGTAGTCATTTTTTCACGGAGCCCCCCGAAATTCCAATTTGGAATTTACCATAACAATTGGCCTAAACCAGATCTTCTTTTTTTTTTAGGACCCATAAAGGGTTGACTGCTCCCGAGGTTTTGTTCAGTTTAGTGCATGCTGTATCGTATAGTGCAGTGATGTCTTTTTATTTTTTTTACGTGTATAGACTACTGTGCGGAGTGTGGAGATTCGTTCACGTGACACTGTATACATTGGCGTGCTTGACCTTCGAGGGTGTTGTCGAGCAAGCGTGGTATAGTATCTGTACAAATGCAATCAGGGGATGTCGTGGTGTATTTAGAGCAGGTGTTAGAAGGCACGAGGGCTCTACGGGGGCACGGTTAGGGGGTTCCGTGAATGCGTAGGGGGTATATCGTGTTTGGGGGCTCCGTTTATGATTTTTGCGAAAAATGTTGCATATCGTCAACAAAAATTAACTCTGCAGCTATCGACGTATCTCGACGAGGCGGTCACGACTATTATTATTATTTTGTTTGCCTTCCGACAATTGCAGCTGTACCTCAGAAAACTTTCACTTGATGTCTCATACTCTACATGAATATTAAACCAATACGAAGTACAACAACATATGTAGGACTTATTTCTACTGTCACTTACATCGTAAACGTATCTCCTCTTCGGTTTGAAATAAAACCAAGGACAATCCTCATGGTATCCTACATGCGTTCGTAAGCTTGCTAAAATACTACTACGACGTACTGCGTCGATGTCCTCTTGTAAAAGCTGAAATCCAACAAATGGTTTGATCCATGCTACGATCACGACTATCATCGTTGTTTCAATTATTTTGCCAAACGACGTTATCGCACAAAACGTAATTGTACAAATATTATATTATTATTATTATTATTATATTGCCCTCCGACAATTGAAGATGTTAGCACTAAAGTCCTAAAACGTTTCACTCAATGTATACCCCTTACTATTTCTATCTTCATGCTCATACTTGTACGAATACGATATTGTATGCACGTCATGTTAGTACGTACCTACCAGTGCCGAACTCAAAACTGAAGGAAATCATAACACTATTGATTGAATTCAACATTTCCTCCGTTCTCCTGTTACTTCCTTTGTGAAAATGCCAAAAAAACCTTGTCTCTCCAAAACTCTGACAAGAAGTTCCTGTCGTTGAACCGAAATCTTGTGAACATAATCTACTACTAAAACGACATTTCTTTCAGTATATGTGATGTACCTACCAAATGCTTTGTAACAACTATACCTACGCTCGCTCATAACTAAGATAATCCATTACATTCCTAATATTACAGTGCATCGACACTACATCATCCCCAAATCATTGGTGTCGATGTTTTCGGTGTCGATCTTGTTCGTTGGTCCTCCGCTTCTTGTCGTCCACGTAGTGCGAGCTTGTATCTTTGTACCCTCCTTGATATGGCCACCTGCTGCGTAGCCACCGAAACGACCTGAAGTAGCCTCTCCTTGTAGACTCCTTTGTGGGTCATCGTTCCTCCATGTCTCCCTCCTGCAGCGTGCGTCGCTAGTTCGTCGATGAATTCGTAACCCTCCTCTCCAAGGCGGCCAAAGCTTTCCACCGCTAAGGTGGTAAGTTTATAGCTGCGCTCGTCAAAGGACACGTGTGTGTCCTGGCCGAGCGTAGTGCTGACGCTTTCGCGCCTCGGAGGCTGGTTCCATCGCTGGTCGCGCTGCCATTTCGCAAGTGTACTTGTGCTTGCGGATCTGCGTGCGTCACTCGCAGTACTCGCTGCTGTAGCACAATCTCCCACACTAGTGACAGTTTTCCCAAATGACCCATGGGCGGCCCATCGGGCACCCACCACCCATGGGTCACCCATGGGCGGCCCATGAAATGCCCATGGACACGTGCACGATGGTGGGCAGCCCATGGGCCACCCATGGGCAGCCCCACCGTGGGCACTCGTACAAGTGCCCATCATGGGCTGCCCATGGGCGGCCCATGCCTACGGTGGGCGACCAATGGGCAGTTCATGATGGGCACTCACTCACTCACGCGACTGCCCATCATGGTGGGCACGTGCCTATCGCGGGCAGCCCACGGTGGGCACTTTTGCAACTGCCCATCATCCATGAACTAACTGTCTATCTTAGCACCGTTGACGAGAAAAAGGGACGGCTGGACCCGTCTCGCGATAAAAAAAAAAACAGCACGCACCGCAGGAGGAAGGTGGGGCATGAAAAGAAATAAAAGAAGAAAAAGGCCCTGGTGTTTACCCCCTCCTGTGTGACCCTGGATGGTTGTTTTTGTACGAAAAAATACACTGAAAAGTGTAGTACTCTACATACATACGTAGTACACGTCTCACCACGAAAAATGGGGGGACTGTCGCCATAATAAATAGAACGAAAACATACACACAACTGACATCTTTTCATTGGTCGGCCGGTTAGCGCGGTCGATGCTAACAATAATAAAAAAACACACACACAACCCACGGGCAGTATTGGGCACTGCCCCATCATGGCCATGGACTGTCTTTGGGCACAATTGGCACTTTTGCAACCCACGGGCAGTAGTACCCAGTGCCCCGTATTGGGCACTGCCCATGGGCAGCCCACGGGCAGCCCATGACGGTCACTCGCGCACTGAAGCAACCGGCGATCATGGGCAAATATAATGTCCATGATGATGATGGGCTACCGACGGTCTGGCTAGCGTCGTGTGCACCCACGCACATGCCCCGCAAGGGCTATCCGTAGGCCGGCCATGGTGTGTATGGAAATCTACGCAGACATACACGAACCATCCATCCATCCATGCGGACTTACTTCGGATAGCGTCACTGCACTACAAGGATATCTTGGCCCAAATATACTGACTGGTAGTTCTGTATGCATAGACTGGACCTAGTTACAGTAGTAGTAGGCCAGTGGTTAGCCAAAACTGAGTTCGCGGGAGAGCTATCTGGTTCTCGACGGATTGGTACAAATTTTCAAAGGGAAAATGGCGTTGTGGCCGCAAAACAAGCGGCCGCAACATTCTGCTGATGCAGCATTATTATCTTCCCTAAAACATACTGAAGAACCAGGAACGTCCAAAAAACTTCATAGGGAGGGATACATTGGGCCAATGGTATGGCTTACCAGAAATCTGGTCATTATCTCACCGTTTATCCATTTTCATCAAGATCGAGAGAACGCAAACTTTCCTTTGATCCCGGCGGATCTGTGCTGCAATAACCGGGGTGTGATTCGTCCATGTGCTTCTCGAAATACACCAAAATAGACGGAGAGAAATGTTTTCCTGAGGTATATTTAGTTGCAGTATTTTGGCAATGCTATTTACTCCACCGGTCAAGTAACCTCTTCTCCACCAGGCAGATCGCCACTAACATAGCTCCAATCGACCTCAAATCAATTGCATCGTGTAGCTATGGAATACAGCTTTCTGCCATGCCATCTGGAAGGCATGTCCGACTGTTGGCCGAAGAGATATATATGCCGAAAGGGGGGGCTCCGCAGCATGCCAGGAAGCAGTAATCGTCTCGAACCTCCGTCCACACAGCGTTCATCGGCCTCAACCATTTTCGTCGTGTTCGCACGGTCCATACCATTCTTCCTAAGCTATCGGACACTCCCATCTAACGAATTCTCGCAGAGATATGGTCAGCAGAGGGGGTTCTGCAGCATCTAAAGGGGCGGGGGTGTGTGCTCGTAGTCGTGAATGAATGCCGTAGTCGTTAGACCATTGACCTCGCATCCCTACAAAGTCAGGACGGAGGACGTCGGGTTCTCACCAGACCAGGCTCTCACATCACCAAGAGCAAGGCGCCGTGAGGTATTCGGCGAGTCGCATGAAGGGTACGCTGCATCCTGCTAAGGGTGTTCGGCATCTTGTGCTTACTTCCTTGCGTACGGATGACAGCTGCGTATGGCCAAATATATTTCCTGGTGCGTTTCTGGTGCTTTCACTTCCAGAGACAGTTGTAAGCACTGTGTAACTGCCTCGAGGGTGCTTGACCAATTTAACACAACGTGGTGCGATTATTCCCTTTGCGCAGAGTGAGGGTGCTCGACCCCGCGCAACATTATGTACGCGACCACAATTCATGGTTACAGTGCCGGCATTCGTCAGGCCGATTTTGGTTGACCGTCCATAACTTGACGAGTTTTCACTTTTTTCTATTTATTTTTTTAGTAGTAATCTACATCCTATTTGCCGCAAGAGTTGTTCAGGGACCAAATCGATTTGAGGCGTTCCTGGAATTTCATGGTTTTCGTATAGGATTTTCAAGGCATTACTGGGGGGGGGATGATGACTCTTTGTCTGATATTTCGGCAACCACGAATTCAAAACATCCCGCATCTCCTTTTTTTTGCTTTGTATCGCCGGGGCTTGAATAGAGCAGAACGAAGATACTCATAAAAAAAAAATGTTGATTTGTGTAGTCGATATATGGCGCCTTCCTGGGGCGGGACAGAAAATGTGGCCCATGCGCACCGGCTTGTTTCCCATGTATGTTTGATTACTTCAATCGACTGGAGGCCCTTCTGTACAATGACCCCACGATACCCACGCACGTTGCACTCTTCATTTTTGCCACCACTGAACGTTATACGCACGGCCATACATACTGTAGCACACAGAGAATCCGCCAACGAAAAGGGGGAACAAAACAATACACCACGCACTGCAGCAACACCACTGACAACAACACGCAGAGAGATAATAGCCTATTGATACACCCATGTCAACATATTACGTACGTACGCTTCCACACCACACAACGGAGATGTAGCATGGATCAAAGCATTTGTTGGATATCAGCGCTCAACGCAGTAGTATTTTAGCAAGCTTACGAAGGCATGTAGGATAACGACTTCTTCAGATCGTTTCGGTGGCTACACAGGTGGCCATATCTCGGCGAGTGCAGAGGTACAAGCTCGCATTGCGCGGGCGTCAAGGCGCCGAAAACAGGCGAACGAGATCGACCTCGGACCAGTCAACGCCAATGATATGGGGATGGAGTGTAGACGCATCGTAGAACGCGTTTTCGTTTGAAGTTGGCGTCTTGTTTGAGATGTGACAGATTTGCGTAGAATAGGGTAAGATGTTATCATGAACGGAGATGAAAGGGCTTTTCCAACACGGAGATGTAGCATGGATCAAAGCATTTGTTGGATTTCAGCTTTTACAAGCGGACATCAACGCAGTAGTATTTTAGCAAGCTTACGAACGCATATAGGATACCATCAGGATTGTCATTGGTAAGTTGAAGAGGAGATACTTTTACGATGTAAATGACAGTAGAAATAAGTCCTACATATGTTGTTGTACTTCGTATTGGTTTAATATTCATGTAGAGTATGAGACATTAAGTGAAAGTTTTCTGAGGTACATCTGCAATTGTCGGAAGGCAAAAAAAATAAATAAATAAATACCATGAGGATTGTCATTGGTTTTATTTCAAATGGAAGAGGAGATATTTTTACGATGTAAGTGACAGTAGAAATAAGTCCTACACATATACGTTGTTGTACTTCGTATTGGTTTAATATTCATGTAGAGTATGAGACATTAAGTGAAAGTTTTCTGAGGTACATCTGCAATTAATTGTCGGAAGGCAAAAAAATCAAAAACAAGGCAAAAATAAATAAATAAATAAAAAATAAAATAAACGTGTACATCACGTAGGGTTAATGTACTCTGACGGGGCCGGCACGTGGTGAGACCTAAAGGTGTCCTTCTGTACTGCTTCCGCGCCCTGGAGTCCGTCGCGGTACACCTCGTTAAAGTTGGCCACCGTCCTGCAGAACTTTTGCACAATTGCTAGACTCAAGCGGTCTTCGGCCACCGCGTAGCTCTTAGATACATTGGTCCGCAAGCACGCGATAGTGTACTTACAGTGCTGCCGGACCCAATACTTGGATCTACCCCACACTAGCTCTACTGTGGTCGCGGTGCTCAAAGTACGCCGGGGGGTACTTCTCGACCGGGTACGCGAGCACGTCGTTGCGGTCATGGCCATCAAAGTACAAGCCCGACTTGCGCATCACAGCTTGTGCAGCCAGGAGCGCGCCGTGCGAACGGTCACCGAGTACGACACCACTATCTCTCCTGATGCCGCTTCAGTCGTCGTCTTGGTGATANAGTGCTGCCGGACCCAATACTTGGATCTACCCCACACTAGCTCTACTGTGGTCGCGGTGCTCAAAGTACGCCGGGGGGTACTTCTCGACCGGGTACGCGAGCACGTCGTTGCGGTCATGGCCATCAAAGTACAAGCCCGACTTGCGCATCACAGCTTGTGCAGCCAGGAGCGCGCCGTGCGAACGGTCACCGAGTACGACACCACTATCTCTCCTGATGCCGCTTCAGTCGTCGTCTTGGTGATAGGAGCGTGCTTGAAGGGGTCGTAGTCGCACGTTTTGGTGTCTGCTACCTGTGGCAAGACGTTCTTGTTGAGCTACTCGCGGAAGCCCTCCGTTGTCATGTTGGGCTCCCCATTTTTGATACAGTTGACGCGGATCCATTGGCGTACCATCACGAGAAGAGCCTCGTCCAAGCTCAGGATCCACCGCCGTTCGTGTTTCCCCCTCTGGTCCACCTTCAAAATACAGCAAGGGTGCAGGCGACAAAGAACACCGCATTGTCGAGAAAAAGGGAAAGGGTGCCTCAAAAGCATGCACGGGTGCGGGATGGAAAGGGAGCAATAGCGCATGAGTTTCACGGAGGGAGCATGTTCACAGCAACGGCCGGCGAGCTTATTGAGCTACAGCAGTTCTGGCACGCACATCTTTCATTGCGGTTGAAACGGATGTCTGGTAGATATCTCCTCTCACCTGGACATGGCCCTTGGTGCGGTAGGAAAGCTCCCCCTCACGGAGGGTGCTGCATGCCACACTTCCAAAAAGGAGGATTTTATTTACGTCACCGGTGGCGTTATTTCTTCACTACGTCACCGCTCGTATCTCAGCCCACAGAGCTTTAATTGGCACAAAATAAATTGTGTTGTGTAGCTATGACCCACACCAATCATACAACCTTTCGACGGTCAAATCCGATAAGTGGTTACGGGGATTTGCTCAAAAGGGGGCTCAGCAGTGTGATACTGCATCTACCACAAAAGAATCCAACTGTAACTTCGCGCAGAGAGCTCCGATCGACACCAATAATAGCTTAAGTGATGGCTGTGATTCGTGGAAACACAACGCGAGTTACATAGTTGGTGTCGATGAGAACTCTCTGCGAGGAGGCACGGTCGTTTTATTTATGGCAGATACAGTATATCATACCGCTGAGTCCCCTTTTGAGCATATCTCCGCAACCACTCATCGGATTTGACCCTCGAAAGGCTTGTATGATTGGTGTGGGTCATGGCTACACAACACAATTTATTTTGTGCCAATTGAAGCTCTGTGGGCTGAGATACGGGCGGTGACGTACAAGAAATAACGCCACCGGTGACGTAAATAGAATTATCGTTCCAAAAACTCCGCCGTTTCCTCGAAAGCTTGCCTCTTGGAAACCCCCCTGAGCAGCATGTAGTACAGTAGTCCTTTCAGAGCCAAGGCCTTGAACAGCCTTGATGCGAGACGAGAACAGACTCCTGCATGTACGTAAGGTAGGAAAGGGGGCAAAATCAATGGTGAGCTCATCGGGACAAGCAGCGGGGATGAAAGACATGGGTGGGGGCGGAGTGGTTCTTGCGGCCCAACAGTCGCGCGCAACTTCACCCAGACATTAAGGAGAAATGAATACACGCACAGAAAGACTACCCATTCGAGAAATATCCACAGTCGAACGGGATGTGGTGGAGTCTTTTCAGTAAGTGGAGGAAAACCGGCTGGGTACTGGACTTATTTCGAGTCTTCATTTGTCTATACACTGATGATTTATCAGTGATGCCAGCTGGTGCTAAGCACAAAAACATCTGTATAGGTAAATCTACATTTTACAAGACATCCCCTGTAGTTCTCTACTGGGTCAACGACAAAATATCGGGGAGAATCCCTCCGTAGTGTCGTGTACTGTAAGATGTGACCTTCACAGGGGACACGGCGCAGTGTCTATTGACAGCTTGCTGGTTTTAGGAATTTAAGGAGAATTCAATAATATTGATGTAAAATCATGGAAGATGGAAAGAAGGCTACAGCAGTACATCACTCGTTTTTCAAACCAATAGATTTGTACATGGGTGGCGCCACATCAAATACATACGGCAGCAGCAGGAGCAACATAGCGACAACCGCACAGTATTACAACCAACAGCAGTGCTTGAGGCACGAAAACTGCGATCAACGCATGCATACATGTACACTGCATCGTGTAGCCCAACATCTCTTACATTCCAGCAGATGTGACTGCTACGGCGGATTGGCATTCCTTGATGACGGCGCGGAAATAATTCTGCCCCCGCTCCCAGCCCGATCTACATGCAGCAGATGCTGCGGCCGCCTTTTTCAGCTGCGATCGATGCTTCGCCAGCTTGCGAAGAGCCTCCTTCCTGGCCACACCCCTGTTGCCCTGGCGCTTGAGGAACGCTGGTCGATAGATAGACCTCTTCTTGCTGGTGCGCCTCCTTCACTGCATCCGACATCGCTCCAGGAAGATCGCGCGGGACCATCTGCGCACACTGGAGCTTCCCTCGCTCGAGATAATAATTGAGCTGTTGCGCAGCTTGGCGAAGCCTCTTCCTGCCGTAGCTTCCCTTTGGTCTGCCTGCTCCAGGACGTGCTCCGCGGCGCTTTCCAGGCGGTGCATCTCCGGTGGATTCCGCAGCATGTTGACAGACCCGCGGCCGCTTTTCTCGGGGCGGCGCAGCTTCGGCTTCGCCTGCACTTGCATCGTTGTGGGGCACGTTGCCGCTACAGAAGGATGGCCGCCAGGTAGCAGCCCACTGGTCCTCGGCCGACCAGTCGCGACCCGTGGTTCTGCCTTNGCTTGAGGAACGCTGGTCGATAGATAGACCTCTTCTTGCTGGTGCGCCTCCTTCACTGCATCCGACATCGCTCCAGGAAGATCGCGCGGGACCATCTGCGCACACTGGAGCTTCCCTCGCTCGAGATAATAATTGAGCTGTTGCGCAGCTTGGCGAAGCCTCTTCCTGCCGTAGCTTCCCTTTGGTCTGCCTGCTCCAGGACGTGCTCCGCGGCGCTTTCCAGGCGGTGCATCTCCGGTGGATTCCGCAGCATGTTGACAGACCCGCGGCCGCTTTTCTCGGGGCGGCGCAGCTTCGGCTTCGCCTGCACTTGCATCGTTGTGGGGCACGTTGCCGCTACAGAAGGATGGCCGCCAGGTAGCAGCCCACTGGTCCTCGGCCGACCAGTCGCGACCCGTGGTTCTGCCTTTCGCAAACTTGATGTATGGGCTGCACCAGCGCTGTCTGAATCCATGCACTACTTGGGCCGTCAGTTGCACACGATACTTCTTCGGAGCCTTAAAAGTCATAAGCTCCCACTCATTCTACACTTAAGTCTTTGAATTACAATGTTTGCTTATAGTAAAGGTGCACGGGGTCTTTCCGTCCAGCTGTAGGATGGTCGCATCTTCACGACCTATGTAATTTCACTGAGTCCCTGTTGGAGACAGCGGGGAAGTCGTTACACCATTCATGCGGGTCGGAACTTACCCGACAAGGAATTTCGCTACCTTAGGACCGTCATAGTTNTTGGGGCTGATGTGGGCGAAAAAAATTGAAATGTTGGTTCTGATTTTTTAAGTTCTCCATCAACGAGCTCGTGGATGATTCCGCCGTAGTAAAATAAATCTGAAAGAGAGATTTGCGCAAAAGTTGGTATTGCGCAAAGCTGCCACAGCCAGATTGATAGCTGACATGCTTGCACGTTTCTATTCTAGTCGACTTATACGTCATACTTTACACAATTTCATGAATACCTTTTTTCGTACCTCGCCAGTGACTGCAAACATCGTGGGTGCAAATGCACCTATGGTGCGTAATTCATACTGGAAGAAAGTGGAGTTGGGTATTTGGAATCGAGTAGATACGAATGAATTTTTGGTAGATTAGCCTGCGTGCGATTATCTTTTCCTTTATTGGTTAGTGTCCCGTTTCTTTGTTGAGCAATTCCTGGAGTAGTGTTGTTGTGTTATGTTCAAATATCGTTACATGTCTATGTGCAAAATCATTTTCAAATTGCGGCTAGCGCTACCAAAATTGTACACGCATACTTTTGTAGGAACCTGATAGCTTATAGCGATGCGAAAATCTGTGGGTAACCGCATATTTAACCGTCGAAACCGCAAGGGGGAACACTGAAAATGAAACGTGTCCCTTGCAATTAGGATAATCAATTTCTGTACACCTTTCTCAAAAATTCCCATACACCCAGGTGACAACGAAGAATTGGGAATCAAATTCCGCTGAACCAGAAATCTGCACTTCAAAGAGCCAGCCAGCGATGTCGCTGAGAGGAGCACGCATGCAGTCATTCCGGTTNAGGGTGCGACACACAAAACGCCCGACTACCCAACAGTACCCAACACCTTTCGTCTGCACCTTCCCAACATAGACTAACATATATGAGACACACAAGACAGCTACCAAACTGATTTGTTGAGCCTGTTACCCACAGGGGAGATGTCCCTATATGCTGTCTGGGAAATCGTAGACACACAGGTAGTTTTCTCTGACGCTATGATTCCATTGTTAATCTGTCTCTGACTCTTTTCTATGATAGAGATGGACTCGTTGTGTCATATTAAGAAAAATAAAAAAAGAGAGCTTTTCGAATCTGCATTTTTTTCGCGGGTTGTGCCGTCGGTGAGATATGGCGATTCTTTTGGGATGACGTGCCTTCTGCTATGATGGTAATGGGGGCATATCTTTCTTGAAAGCCCAAACCCCGCGCTGTGAACGGGCTTATTCGATCGCTGCTGACGAGAGCTTTCTCACGAATATTTTGGTTCCGTTCAATTCTTTGATGAAGGTTACTTGTTTTTCAAAGCACCCGTATTCGGCCTGACGAATGCCGGCACTGCTGTACAGTCGAGGTCCCTGTTTCAGGCCGCCATGTGCCACGGCAAAATACCGGCCTTAAACAGGGCACCCGGCCTTATTCGGAACGTCCCTTGTTAAGGCCGATATCAGTTTTAAAAAGGATCTACACTTCCTCAATAAGGCCGGTACCCGGGCCCTATTGAGAATTCTTGAGTTGTTGAAGGATGCATCTAAACTCTACACAGAGCTTACTTCCATGGGCATGAAGAAGGCCTACAACATGCCGGCTGGAGGTAGCAGGGGTGCGCAATTTCAGTGTCATGGCCCCGCTTTGGGTGGGCATTTATTGTAGAGCAGCAACGGGGCTGTATAGTTAAACGATGTTCGATCAAGCGCCTCGCCCATATGGATTTTTTTTTGTTTTCGTCACATATAACAAATTCGCTTCTATCCAGCCCCCCCCACTCCCGACTAGTCTAGTCTACAATCTTACACAAGCTAACACATGCATGACAAAAAAAAATAGAGTCCCAAGCTTCGCCGAAAATGAACCATCAAGTATAGAAGGCACATTCGTGACCGTCAGGGGCTACCGGCGTCCGTCCTTGCAAAAGACACCGCTCACCAGCCGCACACGGCATGGTATTCCCCCACTGCTGTGTTTACTTGTTGCTTCGCACAAACATACCGCAGCTGCTGCCAGGGCTGTGATTCAGAGGGTGGGCGAAGTTGGGAGTGGGCGATATGGGCATCGCTTTCCCAACCCCAAATTATTCCTGAACTTCTCCTCGCATAAATACTGACTGTAGTACTGCACGCATAAACCCTTCGCATAGACTCCTCGCTGGAAAGCATGTTCCGAACTTCTCATCAAGTTTTACGTTACATATCCAACCGGTACCAATTACTCCGCACTTACGATTACTCCGCACGTACGTGACATACGTACAGCAATCTACAGATGAATATCTTAATACATTCTTACTGCCCATATGTATTAAGGGTACCCGGACAACCTCCTGCTATGTTGCCTAATTTCGAAAACAAACGCAAGAGCGCCAGAAAATGCACTAGAGACACATAAGACCAGTCGGAAGGCATCGCAAAAAAAACAAGTCCAAAATTCTGGCACAGGGCAGCAGTAGAGACCGCTCAAAACGTGCTTTTCGCGCGTCTACCTCCACACGCATCCTTTGAAACCAAGATAAAAATCCACACCAGTCTAAATTCAAGTCAAAAGAGCCCAAACGGAAGGCGCTCAAATAAGGCCGGTGTTGCTAGGAACCTGGTCCATTGTACCAATATCACTAGAGGACACCCTATAGCAGCGGGGGGGGGTGTTGGCGCGCTCAAAACTTCTTCTGTGGTGGTGGTATCGAGTGTCGTTGTAGTGGCCCACAATCTCCGCAAATCTCCGCAAGTTAGATCGACACCCAGTGTCTTGTACTGCTTGTGCTCGCCGCCACTGAACCCAATCTTCTGAACTGCAGGTTTACAGCAGTAGCTGATGCCACCAGCTACTGCTGACAACCCGCAGTTGAGAGGTTTGCGGTCCGTGGTGGTGAGCACCGCTGTGACAAGTGTTGGGTTCCGCTTGGTTCCGGCGCAGATTTCGGACCGTTTTCAGAGGCTGCTGCGACCTTCGATATTTCAGCCCCAGTAGTATACCTGAACGTGCCAGCACGCACGACGCCTCTTGATGATATCCTCTACTGATACTAGCACAACGGACCAGGTTCCTCTGGCGGGAAGGTTGTTTTCTTTCTTTGTACTGTTACAAAGTATGAGAAAAGAGCCAGCGTCAAAATCCCTTGTCTGGGTACCCATAAGGAGAAATAAATACACGCACAGAAAGACTCTACCCATTCGAGATATACCCACAGTATGTATCCTACAGCAGTATGTGCTGTATTTGGACATGTGGTTGCGTGGTAGGGGTGCGGAAGGTGTTTTTGTGTCGTGCGTGCGAAGGTGGGGGTCTGGATGCTGCACGTAGGACTGCAAGAGGTGGCTGAATGAGCCTGTGTGCGTCACAACCGGCCTTATTGAGTGTGAGAAGAGGCCCAAAGCGGCCTTATACAGTAACCTCCCTGTTTAAGGCCGGTGGCGGCCATAAACAAGACGAAATCGGTGCCAAGGGATTTCACCGGCCTTAAGCAGGGCAACCGGCCTTAAATAAGCGGCCTTAAACAGGGACCTCGACGGTACCGCAAAAAAACAAAGCCACAAGAAATAATGAGAGTAGATGTGACAGGAGATGAAAGGGCTTTTCCAACACGGAGATGTAGCATGGATCAAAGCATTTGTTGGATTTCAGCTTTTACGAGAGGACATCAACGCAGTAGTATTTTAGCAAGCTTACGAACGCATATAGGATACCATCAGGATTGTCATTGGTTTTATTTCAAGTTGAAGAGGAGATATTTTTACGATGTAAATGACAGTAGAAATAAGTCCTACATATATATGTTGTTGTACTTCGTATTGGTTTAATATTCATGTAGAGTATGAGACATTAAGTGAAAGTTTTCTGAGGTACATCTGCAATTGTCGGAAGGCAAAAAAAAAATAAATAAATAAATAAAAAAAAAATAAAAAAAGGGTCAATTAACCTGGTTGCCGAGCTCACGAATGATCGGCTTGTTTTACAACACCGCTCGCTGCCAAGCGACAAAAACCCAACCCCGATGGCAAACACCAGGGAGGGAGAATCTAGAATCTGGGGGGGCTGTACTCATAGTCGTGCATGCCGTGTCGTTAGACCATTGACCTCGCATCCCTTCAAAGTCAGGACGGAGCACGCCGGATCCTCACCGGACCAGCACCGAGCGCGAAGCGCCGTGAGGTATTCGGCGAGTCGCATAAAGGGTGCGCTGCATCCTGCTAAGGGTGTTCGGCATCTTGTGCTTACTTCCTTGCGTACGGATGACAGCTGCGTATGACTTAATTTACTTTCTGGTGCTTTCACTTCCAGAGACAGTTGTAAGCACTGTGTAACTGCCTCGAGGAGGGTGCTTGGCCATTATAACACGACGTGGTGCGATCATCC